AAGTCAGAATTCTGACTTTTTTTATTGAAAGAATTCTGAGAAAAAAGTCAGAATTCTGAGATTAAAGTCAGAATTCTGACTTTTTTCCCCATACTAAACTGAAATAAAATTTGAAAATCAGTTAATTTTTTTTTTTTTCAGTGGCCCTAATCCTCTTCCATAGCTGTGGTTGTTTTATAAGTGCTTAACAAATAAAATTGGAATAAATTTTATTAGAAACAAACTGATCTAATCTTTTATTATTTCTAAGCTTATAAATTAAATAACTATTTATAGAAATATTAGTAATCATATTGATAATGTACACAGTATATAATTAAGCACCAGGTGTTTATTTAAGACGGCAAAATAAGCTGTTAATTTCAGAATAGACAATCTGATTTTTAACGTTTTACTTATATAACGAGTTAATTTCTGTTCTTTTTTCCTGGATTTCTCTATATGCTGATGATGTGATGATTAACATCAGCCTCTAAAACATGTCTGGCTGATCTTTAGGCTTTAAAAGCCGTTATGTGGCGTTCAGGTGTTCATATTCCAGGTGGTGAGTTTGTAGAGGATAACGTAAACAAGGAGGAACATTAAGAGCTGAGGGGAGAGGATGACGGGAGCATCCAGCTGAAGGAGACACAGGAGAGAAGGGAGGAGAAGGAGACATGAGCAGAGGAAGATGGAGGACTGTTTTTAACCCTGGAATGGTGAGTTCATCTAACGGCTGAGTCCCAGAATAACGGCTAACAGTCACACTCACGCCACACAAACATCACTTCCTGTTCACATACGGTCTAAACCTACAGCACCGTTCAAGGAATACAGCAAAAACAGGAATGTTGAGTTTAAGGGATAAAAAACAAACAATAGAAACAGGATTTTCTAGAAGAATCTAAGTCATTTTCATTGCTTAAAGAATTCCACCTTTTTTAAGAGGATCAAACCAGAACAGCGGCTTAAAGAAACTCGTCCTGCAGCTTTAACAGCAGAAAGCCTGAATATCTGATACTTTCAGCTCATCGCATTCAAAGGAAAGCGGTTCTGGTTTAATAGAAATGATCCTGGTTAACAGGAGTCAGATAAACGTCTGGATCGTTTAATGATCTGCAGGGTGGGACGTAAATCTGCTCCTTAAATATTAAAGAATTAAAGAAAAGGTTCCTGAGAACTCCTCCATCTGGAACCGTTCAAATCATCAAGTTAAATCCCTCAGAATACAGTAATCCTGGTGATACAGTGAGGGGGCAGGAGGGATGGGGGGGGTTAATAGTGAGCTCTGTGTGTTCGGACATCATGTCTGTGGGAACCTTCGGGCTGCGGCCGCAGCGGCTGCAGCCACGGCGGCGGCCCTGCGGCTCTGCAGGATGTCGCTGTATGTCTGGTAGGCGGGTGAGCGGTAACTAACCCGGGGGGGCTCCTGCTCGGACGGCAGCCCGTTCTGGGACGCCGGCTCACCGTCTCTGCAGAGACACACACAGACGGAGGCAAACATCAACACACCTGGATCCGACCAGCTCGTCCCTCCTGCTGCTTCCTGTCTTCCATCCATCAGGAGGGACTTAGAAACGTTTTCTGCTTCAGTTAAGCTAAGCTAATAATCTGGAGATTAGTTTAGCTAAAACCAACTTTCTGTCAACAAACCAAAACGTTTGCTTTAATTCAACTAAACAGAAAAGTTAAAAACAGCTTTTACTCTGACAAAAAAACTTTAGGAAATAAATTGGACACAAAACCAACAATAAATATTTACAATTAACAGATAAAAAAAGATTTTGGATAACTGTAATTGCTGGTTAAGATTAATCAAAGTTTAAAATCAATCCACTGGATTCTGTTTCCAAGTTTGAAGACGTTTGTCTTCCATCCAGAAAACTTTTTCAATTTAAAATGTCAGAAATAGTGTTTAGTTCCAGGTTTTAATTGAGAGGACCAAAACAAAGCCTGGTTTTAGTTTAGAAAACATGCAATGGATGGGAAGAGAAAGACAAAGTCCAGTGGATTCATTTGTTTACTTTTTTGGAATAACTGTAATTAAACTTTCTTTTATCTCTATGTTTTTCCTTTTTTTTTGTTTTTTTTTAGCACTTTGAGGCCTTTTTGGTGAAAAGTGCATTATAAATTAAATGAATTATTATTATCATTATAAACTTTTTATATAAATTAAGACCCAATAAATGATTTACTTCATTTAATTTAAAAAGTTGCTGCTAAAATAACAATATTACAAACTTATAAAAATAAACCTCATTAAAAACAAGAACTCAAATGAAGAGCTGAGCTGTGATTTGAAATATTGATCATATTACGACGTTTTGGTCACTTTAATCCTACCATCTGAAATAACACAAAAACCGATGCCCAGTTGTTTAAGGTTCCAGTTGACCCTCCCAGTGGATCCAGTGCTGCTGAACATCCGTCCTCCTCACCTGCTCTGAGCTGCAGCCTCGGCGGCCTGAGCCTCGGCCGGTTGCCTCTTCTTCTCCTCTTCCTCCTGCATTCTTCTCACTTCCAGTAGCTCCATCTGGACACAGAATCACACTGAGAATCCCAGTTCTGACGGAAGGCGTCCAGACTGGTCCACTCCTGCTCTCCTCACCGTCGTCAGCCTCTCCAGAGCCGAGAAGCGCTCCTCCCAGGTGGCGGCGGACTTCTCGAAGGCTTCGTGGCGTTTGATGAGCTTCTCCACCTCGTCCACGCTCTGCCCCATCTCCCTGCTGGACAGGTAGGGCTCCTGCCCCAGCAGCCAGGCCTCGGCCACGCCCGCGTCCCGGGAGAACTGGTGCACCTCCAGCACTGGGGACGCATTTACGGGTCAGACCGGATCCGGTCGCCTCAGAACCAGAAAAACCAGGAGAAACATCTCACCCAGTCTGAGCCACTCCCATCGGTCCTCCCACTTATCGATCATCTCTTTCCTCTTGTCTGTCAGCTGAAGCAACTTCTCTTTAATCTGCGGCACAAAACGGATCAAGATCAGAACCGAGGAGCTTTTCCTGAATAAAACAGAAGAAAATCTGCTTCCATCTCCTCTAAAAGTTCGACCCTTCTTTGGAGTCGCCAGAGTTCCAGAGAAAGACCAACAGGAAGGGTCAAAGTTCCCCTTCGTAGGTCAGATTCCAACTGCACTACCTGCTGTAGCATTTAGAACAAAGGTCACGGAATATCGGACCCACCTGGGCTAAAAAAATCCAAAAATTTAAATTTACTGCATGTTGTCCGACGGCAGTGTGTAAATTCACTTGCACCTCTTCTCCTGTTAATACGGTAAAGCCCTCCGGAGCATCCGGCACCAGGCTGCAGATTAACCAATGAGCTGTCAGTCTGGGTTGCTGCTGCTAGCTACTTTTACACACATCCTCAAGCTGGATTGGCGTTGATGATGTCACCAGTGTGACAGAAATCAGGGAAGTAAACAATGGAGAGCAACATGAAGGGAAGCCAGGGTGTTTCTCTCCATCATCTGTCTGAATCCGTCTCACCAGCGCTGCTCCATGTTGATCCAACGGAAACAGAGTTGATTCTGCTTGTTTGATCAGAAGCGACTGGCGAGGTGTGTTGACGTCCCTACGTTGCGTTCAATGTTATCATGTAATTCAGCATGTCAACCTGGCTCTGGTGTTCCCAAAGGAGGCACATCAAAGTCAAAGCGATTTTAACGCGGGTAGCATGACGAGTCATCTGACCCGGGTAGACATGCATCAGTGAGCTGTTCTTACTGCCGCTAAAATCCCATTGTTCCCGAGTTTAAACTGGAAGGGGGTGTTAGTTAGCTGCAGATAGAACCAGAGGAAACATTACATCATTAAAGTCGTAGGGAAGCCGCCGTTCCAACCGTTAATTTCCGAATTCTCACGAGTGGTGCCCGACTTTACACGAGTGAATAACGTGAATGTGATTGGTCGATTATCAAGGGGGCGGGATTGTTGTGGCGGAAGGTTAGCAAGCAAGTTTGGTTGTGGCCGCTCTGATGGAAGCATCTTGCTAACCAGTTAGCAACTTAGTGCTAGCAGGTTCCCAATGGGAAATTCCATTGGGACTAAGTAGCACTAAATTGGTGACTTAGAAACGACGCTGTCAAGGAACGCTATGGACAGAGGAAACATGCAAGAGGAGGAGAGTTTAGTGTCGGAGGTCGTGGATGAGTCTCCTCCGTCATCCTTTCAACAGAGAGCTCACAGAGCTCAGAGTATTAAGTTAAAAGTCCTTTTTTGTTTCTGTTGTTTAATTAAAGTACA